AATCGTGTTACATATTAAACGTTACGGGTCTTGAGATGGGGTTGAAATTCAATATAAACCCGCTACTTCGGATCAGCACAACTAGTCATAAGACTAAAGTGCTACCAGCAACATCAAATAAGATAAAAAAATTAACGGTAAAAAATAAAAAAATTTTACAAGCTCTGGGTTATCAATTAAAGCAGAATGCCTGAGAGTGATATTTTAGATATTACTTCACAGTACGAAACGGATTCTAAAATTACGAAAATTGAATATCATTCATACACACCGTATACTACATAATTTAATAATAATGATGAAATACGTATATCAATCCAGCAAACGGATGTCTACCCATATTTACACGAAAGCTTTATTTTTTTGGAAGGAACAATTACTGATGCTACCAAAGTGAAACTATCTAATAACGGTTACTCTTACCTCTTCGAACAAATACGATTGGAAATCAATGGGATAGAAGTAGATGGCACACGTGTTCTTGGAATCACTAGCTCGTTGAAAGGTTACTTATCCGGTACGCCAGATAACTACAATTGTTATGAAAATGCTGGCTGGAATTTTAAAAACGCAACGCAATCGGAAAATAACAAAGGTGAATTTAGTGCTTGCATACCATTGAAATATTGGTTAGGATTGTTTGAAGACTATAAAAGAATATTAGTGAATTCTAGATTGGAATTAATATTAACCCGAAGTCATAGTGATTTAAATGCTTTACAAGTTAAAAGTGGTGCAACTGCTACTGAAGGTAAAATCACCTTAAATAAAATAGTCTGGAAGGTCCCACATATAACGGTCGACGACGAAGAAAGGTTAAAATTATTGAAACTTATAGAAAAAGAAAAAAGTCTATTTATCCCTTTTAGATCTTTTGAAACTTTTGAATATCCTGAACTCGGAACCACTAAAAAAGTTGTATGGAATTTGAAAACTGCTTCAAAATTAGAAAAACCACGATTTATCATAATTGGATTACAAAAAGGACGCAAAAATTTGCTAACAAAAGATTGTAGTATATTTTGATCATTGTAATTTAACAAACGTTAAAGTATTTCTGAACTCTATAGCTTATCCATACGATAATTTGAATTTAGATTTTTCAAAAAATAATTTCACGCTATTATATGATATGTATACATCGTTTCAAGAATCTTACTATGAAAAAAGTATACGGAACCCGTTATTAAGCCCTTCTACTTTCTTATCAAACGCTCCTATTATAGTTATCGATACATCAAAACAGAACGATTCAGCCACAGCCTCGGCAGTAGATGTTCAATTGGAAATTGAAGCATCAGAATCCCTTACAGGTGTAACTGCTTATTGTTTATTAATTCATGATAGAATTGTAGAATATGTGCCTTTTACTAGAGAAGTAAGAAAACTTGTATAATTATAATTTAGAATTAATTTGTATCAATAAAAAACAATTTTTAATTTAATAATTTGTAATCTTTTCATGAAATATTATTCCAGTTTTTTATTTTGGTTTGATAAAAAAAAGCTACATTATAGTCAAAACATTATTAAGTATATACCTACACTAAATATTTTTGTGTGATGAATAAATAGGTACGAGTGTATAATCTTCGTAATGTGTGACACAGTAAATCTGTGATCACTGAAGTGACATTCCGTCTTAAACACTGTGTAATTATCACTGTGAAAAATCATTACACTGTAATCATAAAAATGTATACTACTAAGACAGAATAATAACCATTCGGTTTATATAAAAAATATATACCTGATACACAATTAGTTAAGTACTATATAAATTCAAATGATTTAGTTATACCAGGTAAAAAAAAAAACAACTACATAATTGTACAACACTAAATTTCAAAATTAAATGATAAAATATAAAATGTATCATTATCATATAATATATTATTTAATTATTTATTTATTTATTTTTATTTAATGTTTATACTTACAATTTACAATTTACAATATAGAATAACGATAACAATAATAGTATATTAATATTTAACAATTAAACATTTTTAAATAATTCAATACAAGTAAAACAATTAATACAAGAATTATATATAATAAATCAATAAATTATAAACATTTTAAATAATGAAACACACGTATATATATTTTAAAATTATTAAATAATTACAGTATCACAAATCATATTACTTTACAATTTATTTATCATAATGAATATCGGTCAAAGTCGATCGCAATATAATTAGATAGGTACATTATAATAAATCAGAAATTAATCATACTCAAAGGTTAATGATAATGATATAATATTAAAATGAATACATAGTTTTATCAAAAGCTTTGTAACCAAATTAATTAACACTAATTTTTAATTTTTACAATTTATAAAATGATCAATTTAAATCCAATAAAATAAATCTACAGGCTATCTTAAACTATAGGTTAATTCAAATAATACAATATTATCATCTGTTTTTATATTTTTTATATTGATTTTGGAATCAAAATATAAAATATTGAATGATTTAATAATTATAAAATGCGATTGTAATAAAATATAACTATAATTATTCTTGATTATTTTAATTTATAATGGCCATATGGTAGTGTACAAATACCACCTTTTAATATAACACGTTTATCATCATTTGCACTCAATACTATTTTTCTCATTGTTTTTGAATATACATTATGTTTGGTTGACTGTATCGAGTTAATATCACAGTATGCATTAATTTTACTAGGTTTATCAAATAATTATTTTACTTGCATGTTTTGTTCTTTGTGATTCAGTCGTGAGAAATTATTTATAAAACAAAAATGACTTGTTGTTGCATTTGTGAAATAAAACAAATCGTAATGATCGGATTTTTCGATATTAATTATATGAAGCGGGTAAATTTGATTTTTATCATCACAGCTATAAACATTAACTTATATGTTATTAATTTTTTCAAATTTTTTTATTTGATTTATTGGTGTCGGATAATCAATACAATTAAAATCAAGCCCACTTTTTTTTTCTAAAAAATTAAAATATTTAATACTAAAATGATTTTTATTTTTTTTTTCATTAAATTTTGATAAAATTGCATATTTAAAACAATTATTATCATCATTCATAACGTTAATAATTGCTTTTTTATCATAAATTATTTTTGGTAATTTTATAAATGAGGATCCACCTAGTAAATTAACCTTATTCGTTCTTAATTGTAAACCATCTAAACTAATTTGTCTCCAAGAAGATCCCTTCAACAGAAATGACTCTTGTTCGTTTAATAAATTATCAAACATGTTTTTTAAAAGAACTGTAAAATTTGACGTAAAGAAACATAAAACATTTGATGTTTTAAAAGCAACATCTCGTACTTCACCCGTAATTAAATTTTCATATACTAAGTCTACAAATAAATTAAATTTATAGGTCGATGTGGAACATAGTTCTTTTAATTTTGATTTTATTAATGAAGATGTAGAATTTAAAAATGATGATAAATCAATAATGTTTTCGTGGTTTTTTAAAAAAAAAGTTTTTGAACGATTATTTTTAAATTTCTCAACTTCTACTAACCCTCCCCCAGTTATGTTTAATCGATCAATTTTTTTAATATGATTAAATTTTGACATTCTTAATAATTAATACAAAACTATGCGAAATTTAAATATATTAAATTACTTATGTATGAACTGTTGATTGTAGTAAATCCGCTGCGTAATTAAATATTGGGTACACTTGTTGTATGTAATCTTCACTAGGTTTAGCATATGAATTTTGATTGTCGCAAACAGTTGTATATTTTTTACACGTGATACACCTTCGTCTTTGACAATAATACATTAATACATTTATTTCTTTGAACATAATATGAAATGCATCAAAACGTGAATTGTCAAGATTTGAACTAAAATGTGTTTGATTAAAATAATTAGAGCATTCAAACGAACAAAATATATCAACAGTATAACCATTAAATGAATATCGCGCTTCCCTCACGACAAAAGCTGAATGCGTCTGTCTAAAATATTCATATACGTCACGTTCACTATGAGCAAACGAATATTTTACAATGTGTTGTATTGTAGTCGGTGGTATGTCTAATTACACTACAGAGGTTGTCATCGGGTATCATCACTGCTAAAAATGAATAAAATCATTATAATTTTTAAAATTAAAATTGTGTAATTAATTAACATACAAAAAATATTTACAACATGAAATATACTGACCACTTTATAAAACGCTCATGCTTACCGTCCGCTTCACTTGATGTGTATAACTAATACTCTGATCATACTATTAATGTATTATGAAAATATAATATATAATTATCAATATTGCATACGGTAATAAAAAATGAAAATTATGTGATTAAAATATATAATACTTAATTAGCATTATCGTATATGATATTAATATGATTATGTTATTATATTATATTAATATTATATGATGTTAAATAAAATATCTTATTAGCAATTATCTATAGTAAACTCGAAAGTATAATTACTTTTAAATAGATTAGTGATAAATAAATTGTGTAGTCAGTATAATTTATGATAATTGATATACCGTCCGTATGAATTATGATAAAATATAATGTAGGTATTAGTATCCATACATTAAAAGCTATAATTAATGGGAAAACTTAGATCAAAAGGTGGAAACAACAAGTTGTTCACACCTACATACATAATAAACACGTCAGCAGTAACGAGGGATAATTTTAGATTTTAGTCTATCACATTACAAGTAGTCATTGTTGCACGTCATAATATAAATCAATATAATGTATGTATTTTTATCCTTACATTAAAATCTTAGTAATAGGAAACTAAGATCAAAAGGTGGAAACAACAAGTTGTTCACGCCTATTCACATAATATACAAGTCAGCATTATAGTTATAACGAACGATAATTAAGATTATAGTCAATCACAGTTTTCATTGTTAGACTTCATATAAATATTGGTTAACCACATAATATTTGTTAGAAGATAATCAGCAACAGTCAGAGTGTTCACTAATATCGTTAAACATGAGTGCACAAAATTCAGATGTTGAAGAAATCAATGTAAGTATACAACATTATAATAATAATTAATATATCATTAATATTTATAAATTTATGTACAATTATCATCACTAAGTGTTATAAACATATTAATTATAATTAAGGAACAATATGGTAAAATGCAGAATTTTAAAAAAATCAAACGCAGTACAAACATTAAACAAAAAAAACAGAATGAAATAATGACCAACACAAGTGAACAAAATTCAGATGATGAAGAAATCAATGTATGTACAACATTATTATTATTTTTAGCTTACTTTCATTAATCCTCACGAAGTATTGTAGTCATATTAATCATATTAATTACAATTTAGGAACTTTATGCTAAAATGAAGAATTTAAAAAAAATCAAAAATAATATAAATGGTAAACAAAAAAAAAAAAAAATAACAATGAGTACAAGCAACCAAAATTCGGATGATGAAGAAATCGATGTATGTATACATTTATTATTATTGATAGGTATATTATATTAATATTTTATAATTTAATTGAAAACATGATAATATAAATTTAGGAACATTACGGTAATCGAATAAATAAAATACAGAATTTAAAAAATGTCAAATCCATTATAAAGTCTAAACCAAAAAAACAAAAAGTAAAATATTAAATATTAAAATATTATATTTATTAAATAATATTGATTTTAGTTTCAGTCACATTTATTAAAATTAGAACAAGAATATGATGGATCAACATTAAACAATCAAAACTGTATACGTGTAAAAAAACCAGGTGGTGGTAATTTTTCAATTAAAATACCGGTGAATCAAGGAGGAGGTGATTATTTGGTTGTTCAAAAGTATAAGACAGCCGATATGGAAAAAGTAGAGTCAAAAGAGAGGTAACAACAATTGTGATGTGTAGTATATTTAATAATATATCTATGATAATATACAAATATAATTAATTATAATATGTATCCATTATTTTGATTTTTAAATAGATGGAAAACTAGTACATTTAACGCAAAAATTATACTCAACGAAAAAGATAAAGCTGACAATGCAATAATATTAGCATTCAATAACTTACAAGATTTGATGATGGATAAATTTATGTGTAATGATGATAAACAAATTGAATCTTATCAATAATAAGACTATACATTTATTCTATTTTAATTTACATGTTGTATCACACTTAAATAAAGTTATATGTATTTGGCAATTGTGTTATATAAAAAAATGATGATATTATTATGTATAATCAAATTAATAAACAAATAGCTATGATACATTAATTATTATATTTTTGAAATAAAAAGACGAATCATTATGAAATATACAACTATTTTATTAACAGATTACAACAAATATCAAAAAAATAAAAAATAAAACAATATTAATGATTAAAGATATAATATTATAACACAATATAATAACAACATCATACAATTTTAGTAAAATAAAAATGAGTAATTAAAATGTAATAAAATCAAATCATGATTATTTGGTTTTTATTGATTGATTATGTCAGGCTTTAATACAATGTCTGCAAACTTTCCATGATGTATTTGTTGTAGATCGAGTAAAAATGATATCTCTTCATCCTTCAGATCATCCATTTTGAAATTATAATCTTTAATATATGTACTGATAAAATCACTTCTAATACAATCAGGTGATAAATATAAAATATCATACTTGATAATTATACATGCATTATTGAAAACAGTTTGATACATCACTAATTTATTTGTTAACTCTATGATATTTGCATTTATACATGGTTCCAATAATTTCAATCGATTTAAATTATCACTGGATAATGTGATTCTGTTATTATTATGATATAAATTAACTGATTCAGATTTTGGACATATTTTATAATAAAAATTATTATCCAAATGTAATCGTTTTGAATGTTGAACAGTGGATAAAGAACGAACAATTATATTAAAACTATCATCAGATATAAACTTATTCCATTGAAATACATTTAGTATTAGATAACGTTTAGTTACGTTACACATGAATAAAATAATTACAGATAAAGGTTGATCAACAAGGTATCCAATATAAATGTTTTTTTTATTCTGTTGATGTATGTTGAATATTGATTTGACTATTACACCTTCCATGATGAAGTGTACCTACAGTATTGATTTAATTAGTTAACTCAAGATGATAATATTTTGGTTTGGATTTCACTCTAGTGGATCTTCTAAGTTTCTTCAATGTACAACAGTGTTGACGTATCGGTTGGATTTTATCGATTGTAATATATGATTTAATTTTAATTAAATTATTATTACTTTGATGAGGAGATAAATAAATAAAATACAACATAGTCAAGACTACTACACTAGTACACTGTCAAAACACTACTAAAATCAAATCTAGAAAAAAGCTAAATATATTTAACAATGTGTAGACAGTTGTTATCAGTTTGATCACATAATGAAAGTTAAAAGTATTTATATAGTCAATGATTTTTGTTTATCAATTAATATTTTTTTTTTTCAAATCTATAAACATATAGTTAGTAACAACACACAAACATGTATCAGGTCAGCAATGACAATTTGACCACACACAAAACTAAATGATAATTGATTTTTTCTGTTTCAAATTTAATAACATATTGTTGAATACAAGAGAGAGTACTATTTTGTGCATTCAACTTTTATAATATTCTTCATAGATTGCATATTATTCGTAAAAATTCTCAGGAATTACGTTCTGCAGATGTAATCGATTACGGGTACAACGGATCTAGCGCGTAGATGGCATTGTTCCAGTGACTCCTTGGAGTTCCACGTTACGGGTGTATCGCTCATGAGCTGCCCATCTCGTGTACCGCTACAATGATCCGACAACGCCTTTACTCGATGCTGATCCGATTATTCGGTGGCTGCAATGTCGTTGACATATTATGAATCTATTCGAATATACTTGCTATACGATCACGAGATATTAAATCAAATATTAACACATATAAGTTGTTTAAAAAAAATGAATATTTATTTTTATTTACTATAATGTATAATAAAAACATGATTAATAAACGATATTGTATAACTCAGTTTTGCAATTTACAAATATGTTCGGTTTTACAATATTTACTTAATATGTCTTGAACATACTGATTACCCTTCATTAATAACACATATAAACATCTTGGACTGAATCTGCAATGTTCAATCCACGGGTCGTCAAGCCTTTCCCAGTTATAAAGAATAAGACCACAACAAAAGCATTCCACGACATCATCGACTCCTGAATATTTTAAGCCACATTCGGACAATGTATATTTATTTTGAGAAGTATTTGACGGGAATAATTTGAATGTTTTAAATCTTGATGAAAACGAAGAAAATGCTGGATGAACCATAGTCGGATTACTTCGTATACGATAAACTAATGATTCAAAATCATTTGGACATTTTTGAAAATTCATTTTTGAAGAAATTAAATAACTTATGCAATGCAATAAAACTTTGAGAAAATAAAGAAAAATGAGACACGACTTGAGTGACCGGCGGATCATTAGTAACTGAATATGAAAAAAAAAAACAGATTAAGTTATATTGTATTATTATAATATACTACAATCAGTTATTACAAAATCTAATTACTTCAAAATGCAAACGCACTTAATTACGAAATTTAAGTTTATGAAAAAAAAAAACAAAAAATGTAGACTCATGTCCTAGTTGACTATGACACTGGATGTAGCATTAACATACTTACTTACCCTAAATTCAAATTTATCAAACTCTAAATCCAACGCCTTAGTCCACTAGGCCATGAGTCTACAAGTTAATTAATTGATATTTGTACATTTAAGTTGAAATAATGAAAAATAAAAAACGAAAAAAAAAGTAAATATATTTGTAGAAAAAAAAAAATAATAATAATAATAAAAGAACACATAATAATAATCATTGATGTGTAATTCAGTAAAATATTTTTTTTTAGTAAAAATTTTCCCGGGGTCGTCACTGACACCACAAGGGGAAAAGTTGTGGATGAACGTTTTTATATTCCCCTGTAACTAATAAAAACTTGGATAGAAAGACCCCACAAAACTGATTGCTCAAGGGCAAAAGTTGTGGATAAACGATTTTAAATCTCCCTGTAACTGAAAAAACTTGGATAGAAACTACATATACTACCTACTTATATGCATTAACTAAAGTTCAAATTTTGACAACATTTATCAATTTTTCAAAAATGTTATAACTATTTTCGGTTATGAATTCATAAATGTTTTTCCTTTCATAGCTAACATTAGAAAATTTCATAGAAGATTCCCCACACATTTTTCTACCTTAAAGAATAACAAGAAGTTTACCGGAAAGTAACATTTATTTTTTTATGAGCGTTTGAATTTTTTTTTTTTTGTCATATTTGTTTTTATTTGTACAATCTGTATAAAAAAAAAATATTTACAATAAGTACAATGGAGATAATGATAATATTGGTAATTGGACATGGTTGACTTGTTGAAGAGACTATTCATTAATAGCACTTCATGGCAGGATGGTGGACTCGTCAACTAGTCGACTAGTAGGTCACGGCACCAGCTACGCTTTAGACGTCGGCCAGGGTCGCCCGGGATTGTTCGGCAAGATAGGTTTTGGATGAGAGGGTTTCGGTGATTTGAAAGTTTAAGGTGGAAACGTTTATATAGGGTTTTGGCGACGTTTTTTACTGTCGGAATGAGGAGGTCCCTGTGGAGGGTATCATTTGTAACATAAAAAGGGGCTTTAGTTATCTGCCTGAGGCATTTGGATTGAAATGTTTGGATTCGGTTTATATTGGAGTCTTTGGCTGAACCCCAGAGTTGGATTCCGTAGGTCCAGATAGGTTTGAGGAGTACTTTGTACATGAGGATTTTATTGTGTAGTGAGAGATGTTTGGATGATAGGAGGAGGCGAAGTTGTCTTTGACGGTTATTTAGCACAAGTCGTTTGTTACGTATGTGGGTAGCCCACGTGAGTCGACGATCTAGGCATAAGCCTAGGTAGCGGACATTTTGAGCGGTCGGGAGTGGTTGGTTGTTGAGTGTGATAGAGGGACAGCTTATTTGTCTGAGAGTGAATGTGCAGTGAATGGATTTGGATTCATTGAGTTTGAACCCCCATTCTTTGTACCATGTCGAGAGGATGTCAAGGTGGGTTTGGATTCTGCTGGATGCCTCGAGAGGGTCATGATGAAGAGCCAGGATGGCTTTATCATCGGCGAAGTCACCGGTGGTGGTGAAGTTGGTAGTGGGTTGGTCTGATGTGTACAGGTTGAATAAAAGAGGTGCCGCTACAGCTCCTTGCGGTACTCCAGCTCTAATTGATGACATGTCAGATAGGACTGAGCCATATCGTACGGAGAAGTGCCTGTCTTCTAGATAGGACTTGAAGATTAAGTAGAAGCTGGGTGGAAATATCGATTTTAATTTAAAGAGGAGGCCGTGATGCCATACCTTGTCAAACGCTTGTGCTACATCTAAGAAGGCACCTGTGCAGATTAGTTTCTTTTCAAGAGAATAGGAAATTTTGTCACTATACGATGAACCTGGTGTATGGTGGAGTGGTTATTACGAAATCCGAATTGATTGTTTGGGAGGTTTGTGTCAATGATTGGGAGTAGGCGTTTAAGTGCGAGTTTTTCAAATACTTTGGAGAAGAAAGGTAGAAGGCTTATTGGTCTGTATGAGCTGGGAGAGTCAGCGGGTTTCCCGGGTTTAAGTATCATAATTATGATCGAAAATTTTCAAAGTAGAGGAAAGTATGAAAGTCTGAGCATGGAGTTGTAAATGTGCGTGAGTGATAAGATGGCTTTTCTGGGAAGTTGGGAGGCGACTTCTGATGTAATAAGGTCGTAACCTGGGGTTTTATGACGCGCAGATTTATTGATTGTAAATTCGACTTCACTGGGTCTTATATGTTTTGGCGAAAGGGTCATAGGTAGTGGACTGGATAGGAATTGGTCGACTTCAACTATTTTATTACGGGGTATGATGTCAATATGTGGCTGGAACGTTGTGTGTAGGTGATGACGAAAAGCATTAGCTTTTTCTGAGTCACTGATAAGCCATGTTCCGTCAGGGTTTCTCAGGGGGGGTACTGGTGGTTGAGAGCGGAGAATTTTTCTGG